CACCTTGCCACCGGAGGATACCCTCCTGTACATGTACCACCTTGCCACCGGAGGATACCCTCCTGTACATGTACCACCTTGCCACCGGAGGATACCCTCCTGTACATGTACCACCTTGCCACCGGAGGATACCCTCCTGTACATGTACCACCTTGCCACCGGAGGATACCCTCCTGTACATGTACCACCTTGCCACCGGAGGATACCCTCCTGTACATGTACCACCTTGCCACCGGAGGATACCCTCCTGTACATGTACCACCTTGCCACCGGAGGATACCCTCCTGTACATGTACCACCTTGCCACCGGAGGATACCCTCCTGTACATGTACCACCTTGCCACCGGAGGATACCCTCCTGTACATGTACCACCTTGCCACCGGAGGATACCCTCCTGTACATGTACCACCTTGCCACCGGAGGATACCCTCCTGTACATGTACCACCTTGCCACCGGAGGATACCCTCCTGTACATGTACCACCTTGCCACCGGAGGATACCCTCCTGTACATGTACCACCTTGCCACCGGAGGATACCCTCCTGTTCATGTACCACCTTGCCACCGGAGGATACCCTCCTGTACATGTACCACCTTGCCACCGGAGGATACCCTCCTGTACATGTCCCACCTTGCCACCGGAGGATACCCTCCTGTACATGTACCACCTTGCCACCGGAGGATACCCTCCTGTACATGTACCACCTTGCCACCGGAGGATACCCTCCTGTACATGTACCACCTTGCCACCGGAGGATACCCTCCTGTACATGTACCACCTTGCCACCGGAGGATACCCTCCTGTACATGTACCACCTTGCCACCGGAGGATACCCTCCTGTACATGTACCACCTTGCCACCGGAGGATACCCTCCTGTACATGTACCACCTTGCCACCGGAGGATACCCTCCTGTACATGTACCACCTTGCCACCGGAGGATACCCTCCTGTACATGTACCACCTTGCCACCGGAGGATACCCTCCTGTACATGTCCCACCTTAAGCTTGCCACCAGAGGATACCCTCCTGTACCACCTTGCCACCCGAGAGTACCCTCCTGTACCACCCTGCCACCGGAGAGTACCCTCCTGTACCACCCTGCCACCGGAGAGTACCCTCCTGTACCACCCTGCCACCAGATAGTACCCTCTTGTACCACCCTGCCACCGGAGAGTATCCTCCTGTACATGTACCACCTTGCCACCGGAGGGTACCCTCCTGTACCACCCTGCCACCGGAGAGTACCCTCCTGAATAGGGTTGTTAATTTCCTTAGATAGAAATTTTATCTCAACTAAACCTAATAGAAACTAATTAGGTTTAGTGAGAAGTTAGAAA